TTATTGGCCACTTGAACAATTTTCTTCAGACTTATTGCATATTTTTTGCCAACTTCTAGAAAAATTTATTAGCAGAGGTTTCTATTATATTACTTAAAGTTGCCTATAGGCCTCTAGGACCCTATCTATATTTTGCTAGTTTCTACTGTTTTGAAATTTATGTGAAGATTTATTTTTATCTTAGGATTAAAATAACTGCGTTGACGCTGACTGAGTGAAGCAGCAGTCCATTACATGAACTTCCATTGGATGTTCAGTGAATTACTGAGGAGACAAAATTGGCACACTCCATGCAAGAATGAGTACATCCTTCATTTTGACTTAAAAAATTAAAAAATAGTCTTTTGCTATTTATCTGTTACCATTACTGGTGGTAAACCATTCACAAAAATATTCATAGCCATTGCCTTTGTGCATGGTAGATGCCCTAAATGGAATTACAAATCCATTCACTTTATGAAATAATTATTATCATAGTTGGGAATGCTGGGAACTCCATGATCAATGCGTTTGCAAATTACATATGTACTGAGACATTTTTTTTGTTTGTTTGTTTTTGTTTTTTTGTTTTTGGTTTTTCTCTGGAACCGGGAACCGAACTCATGACCTTGCACTTGCCAGGCAGGCGCTTTTGCCGCTGAGCTAAATCCCCAGCCCCTGTACTGAGACATTTTTAAAAGATGAGTTCCTGATGAGTTCTCTAATGGCAGGAGGGGTGGACAAGTTATGTTTGGTCAACTTTATGAGTGAATACACGTCAGTATTGAGATTTGGGACGGAGTGATCGCAGTAGTTTGCAAAGGCCTTATCTAACCTCCTCGTACCATCACACTGGAAAGTAAGTTTCAATATGTGAGGTTTGGGGAAACTCAGACATTTATACTACAAGAAATATTATATGAGTGTATACCATGTGTTACACTGTGTTATAGACGCCATATGGCTTATTGTCTTCCACAATGATTTATGTGTTCATATATAGGCTAAACTTACAAGTATTTGGAAGATAGAAACTTAAGAAAGTGTTGCAATTAGATTTTAGAAATTTAATGTAGATGTCCTTAACTGAAACTGTCAAAATTTTTCATAAACAAAAGACAAGGTGGATAGCCTTTAAATTGGAGATTCAACAAAGGATATATTAAAAATTAAATGACATACTAAGCAATATTTCCATGCTTATGAAATGATTTTTGATTCTATCAATACCTACTTTTCCTTAAGGAGGTATAACCCCTGAACCATGGACAATAAAATGACATATAAGATAGAGAAAGAATATTTAAGAGGCAGCTCAAGTGGTCAGCAGAGGAAATGCATGGAACCTGCACAGTGTGTTGGCAAGTTTCAACCTCACACAGTCCAGTGCAATATATTTTCAAGTGCACTTTATTTACAAAAGTGGACATTGGCTTCAAAATGGTCATGACTCTTCATTCATATCTTATAACTCACCACTACCAATTCACTCTATTAGTGACTTACACATTACTGAAATAACACCTATACCTAACACTTCACTCATTAGTGTAGTTCTGTCTTCAATGATCTCCTCCTTTGTCAAAAATGAAACTAACCCATGAGAGTGGATGGGACATTTTCACATCTGTGGCCCTTCTACTATTGACAGCTAAGATGCTTCACCCCACTGGCACATATATTCTAGCTTTTATGACTGACCTTTGGGCTTTCCCAGTGCAGATCCTTGGTACAGACTTGCATGAGCCATTGTCATGGCCTTTAGGCTGCCAGCTACATTCGTGGAGGACATTGCCATAGGCTCTAGGACTTCAGTGGGACTCCTGCAGAATATTGCCATGGGATCCAGGGCCTTATTTAGGTTCTTTGGGTCTCTAGTATATGGAAGCATCTCCCACACTCTTCTGCATTTGACTTTTTGAGTAAGTATTATAAAATAATGCTATAAATATATGTTCCTTATTAAATCTATTTTCTCAAAAACTCTACAGTGGATCAGAAATGATAAATTGTCTCACTCTTGAGTCATGGAGAACTTCTTTCTTCACCTGATGTTACATATCTCTTTTCATACAGACAGAAACCCAGGGAAAACAATAGCTTGGTTTGAAGATTGTGTATAGATTCTCCACCAGTATCAAGTCCTTACATTTTGTATTGCATGAATAAGAAGTAGGTGAGCTAGGAGCCTTCATGATGCTGCCTGTTACCTGAACCTGAGCCTTTGGAGCTGGTACTGTCTGGTCTCTGTACCCGAATTATCAATAAAGGGTGCATTCACAGACAGTCCTTGTATATTGAGAAATAATTTTCAACTCTCTCAGGTCTTTGACACATTTTGTTGATGTGAGGAAATATGCATCAGTACATTTTTTTGTTAAAAATCCATTAGCACAGCAGTATACACCTGTGTGAAACATAAGGAAACTCAAGTAAAGATAGCACATATAGGAGTTGGACATGATGGTGCACACCTGTAATCCCAGCACTCAGGAGGCTGAGGCAGGAGGACCATTGCAAGTTCAAGGCCAGCCTGGGCTACAAAGTGAGCTCAAAGCCAGCCTGTACTGCATAGCAAGACCCTGTCTCAAAAAGACAAAAAACAAAATAAAACAAAAACAAAACAAAACAAAAGGAACCCATATATTCCACCTAGACGGTGCTTGAACTTGAGTGGTGCTGAAACATCTTACCAGACTTCTACAGGCACAAGAGGGATAAATTTCTCAGCGCCTCCACCACGCTTTGTGGTCTACACTCAGTGTTTGCCTATGCCACCTCCATATGCTCAGCACACCCAATGCCTTTACTTCAAACTACATTTTCTGACATCAACACTATTTTAACATTCTCTGGGCAACACCTTTGTGTTATTTAAACTACTGCAGGTAAAATGTTACCTCTTTCATTGAGCTAGTGAGTTTCACACTGTCTTTTCTCATGTTTTCACAGCATCTTGTACTTTTAATTTTTCCTTATTAGTACCACTATGAGTTTTGTTCTCATTTGGAATGAAGATATTATACATGCTGAGAAACAACACTGACCAAGGACAAAGCTCTTCTCTTTCCTCAGCTTCTCATGGCTCAGGTTGACAAATTCACCTGTATTAAGCATGGCTGTTCAGAATAAAGTGTGATGAGGCTATGCCAGAGGTCCATCGGTGTTCAGTAATGTTGAAAGAGTATATCAGGGAGTGAGAGAAGCCTTCTGAAAGTGGCAGTGTTTGAATGAGACCTGAATGATGTGCACTTGTGACTCATGCAATTATATGGAAAGTTGATTTTCAGATACAAAAAGCAGCATGTACATTTATGGGTACCTGTAGATGGAAGTGTCGTATTACCTTGTATCAACATTTTCAAGGTTATTAGAGGGCTTTTCCCAAAAAGCATTGCTATACACCTCTTCACATCATTGTGAGTAATCTTCAGGAGTTCTTCTAAGTCAACACTTACAAGTGAAAGTGGTAGCTAATACAGGAGGCAACCCATCCAATTACTAAAAACCATGTAACAAGAGTTTTGTTGTCTCTTGCAGTGGATTTGTTTTAAGCATGAATTCATCACCAAATACCTGTTTTCACTGAGATAGTTTGGCCTGCATGGAGGAGAATGGCTTGTGGAGGAAAGAAAAGGTTTTGATATGTGAAGAATTGCTGGGGTCAGACTAAAATATGTAAAAAACTGTGAAGAGCAGTCATAGTAAAAATTCATTTATATAATTAGTTGAAGAATAAATTGATGCATTTGGAAGTTTATTTAAGACATACACCTAGCTGAATTGTAGTTGGTATTTATTTACTTAGTTACAGGTGCAAAATATCTAACATACAGAATTTTTTAAAAATACATTTATGTTGTCTCCTTGTTTCAGAGGCTGCACTCTGGGTTTGACAGATTCCAATGCAGAAATATGTGGGCACATAGAAGTGAATAAGAAAACATAACTTATTTATGAGATTAAAAAGCCAGACAGCAGGGAAGGTGCCTGAGAGGAAGGACTGAGGGACCAGATTTGGTCCATCAGGTCAAACTCACATGACACCACCCGACACACCTAGAAGTGTACTTTCCTAATAGCCTACATATCTCTCAAACAAGTTGTAAACAAGTGTATCACATTGCTCCAGGCAATATATTCTTTCTAGACATATTAAAGTTATGAAGAGGCAGAGTTTGAATGTTTGAGGAGGGAATTATAGGGCAGGAAGAGCTTAAAGTTTGAAGTCCTTAGGTGTCCTTGCCTCATCACAAGGAAATGACTGATTGGGTGAGGAACGTGGCTCAATTTCAGCAAGCACTGTGATCCTCATGCTTGGCAAATGCTTACTTTCAGAATTCAGGTCTTTTATGACCCTGGATGAGTAGTAACCTTGTCTGGGAGAGTTGACGTTTGCTTTGCTTTTCTCTTTACTCTTTTGCAGACTGTTACTATCATTTAACTTTAATTTCTACAGTTACACAGTAACTGTGCTCATTTGGTGGATATATATTAATTTTTCTATGCTGAAAATGAATTGATAAAGAGAGACATGTGTGAAAATCTTGACAACGAAACCTGTTGCATCACTCCAAAATATCGACCTCTCAAACAGCCTGCCCTCTTTTCCATTGTGTTCTGGCCTGGTCTGTGCTCAGCATTTTTTCAGACATCAGGAGGTTCATTCTTCCCTAGAATATTGAACCTGAAACCTTCTGTACACATTTGCAACCCTTTACAGGGAGAGCCCACTGAGTCCTTTAAGAAAACCCAAGCAACAATGAAAAGTCCCATGTAAAGCCCTTTAATGCAAGTATTCCTCAGGGAAGGTGAGGTCAACTTTGTAAAAGACAACTTCATCTAGAAGTCTCTGCAGTACGATCTTTCCCCTGAGATCCACTCTTGTAGGTAGGGGTTTGTTTCTGTGTTTATTTTTCGCTCAGGGGCAGGGCAATAGAACAGGAGCCTATCAGTGATGAAGGGCGGGTTATATAAACTGTCCAATCAGGTGGGCTGAGACAGGAGGTCTTTTCCGGTGTCATGGCGTCAATTGCGTGTCCTGATGCTAATACTGAGAGCTGAATGCTTGCTAGATCGCGTTTTGTGGCTTCTATTCGCTGTGGCTTGTTTAAGAAAGAACCTGGGAGACGCTCAAGCCACACAATGGTGACGTTGTGGGATGGGAGCCTTAAAATGGGGTGGAATCGGGCGAGGCCAGTTAGAAGTGATCAGAACCAGCTATGGTGGATAGAGCCTCTGTGTTATTCTTCCGACACTGAGGTCCTCCAGGACTGGCAGTGAGTCAACCTCTTTCCCTTTTCCTCCCTTGCTGGGGCAAGTGTAGATCTGGGCCACAGAACCCTGTGCGCACTGTGACACCACCAGCCCACAGTGCCTCTTTGAAACGCCTTACTGCCCTTGCACCTGCATCAGTCTGGGCGGAGAAGGGAACTTGGGGAGACCAGAACACAGATGTGTTTTGGAGCTGGGTGCTGCTGTAGTGACCTAGCTCCCTGTTCTCATTCCTGCAAGCAGCAGCAGATCTGAAGGATTTGAACTTTGTTAATATCTGTAATGCAGGGCCTGTTAGCCCCAACTCTAGTCCTCACACTTCTGCTTTTTAAATTTATTGTCATCTCCTAAATTTCAAGTATGTCCTCATGTTTCCAAATTGATGATAGTTGTTCACAAAGGTCCTGAGAATTCAGAGGTTGGGTGATGTGCCTCAGTGGTGGAGCACTTACCAAACACCCAGTGAACTCCTGGGTTCTATACAGAGAAATGCAAAAAAAATTATAATCTTTATTAGTTAGGTGACATTCACAATTAAACTAAGTAAATGGGAACTGCCAAAGCGTTTAGAATTCTGAGAAAAATGGAGCAGATGATAAAGTATTAGTAAGGGCCGGGTGAAGTGTACTTGCTAAATAAGGATAATTTCCAGAATCAGCTGCCTGTTAAAACCTCTCTGAAAAATGCCTGAATTTGGGCATTTGCATGGATATATACATGTGATAGCTATATGAGTGAAAAGGAACAGGGGTGTCTTCTCTGAATTAATACCTGTAAAGCTCAGCCTGATCGTAGTCATTGTTTAAATATTGAAATTCTCTCCTAGCTAGACTTTAAAACAAGTACTGGTGTAAGGAGAAGCCTCAAATAGAAGTTGTGCATGGATATCCACGATTAGGCATTAAGGGTTTTCTGCTTAGGATGTATCAAAGGAGAGAGGACAGGATGTGGATTAGACTGGCATGATGAAGGGTGCCGATAGTAGGAATTACAACATAGAATATCTCCTCAGAAAATTAGATTGTTCTTAGGGTAAGCACAAAGGAAAGACTGTGTGCTTGCTTCCTCTCAGAGTTGGCCAAAAGTCACAGCCTTGAATAAAGGAATAGAACTTAGTAATAGATAAATATGTCTTCTGTTATCACTGATCAGTTCATGTTATCATTTGGAAGAAAACTCAAAAATTAGGAAACTGGGGCTGGGGATTTAGCTCAGCGGCACAGCACCTGCCTGGCAAGCGCAAGGTCATGAGTGCGATTCCTGGTACCGGGGAAAAAAAACAAAACAGCAAAAAAAATTAAGAAACTGTCTGGCCTTGGTGTACGTTTAAAAGTTGTGTGGATTCTATCATTGAAAAAAAAAATGAAAGGAGTTTCCCTGGACATGGAAGATTTCAAGGTGTGCTTGATGTTTTCGTTGTAGAGAAATTGAATTCTGGAAATTTTGTCTGAGCTGTGTATCGCAAAATTTTTAATTTTGAGATAATGTCTTACTAAGTTGCCTAGGGTAGTGTGATCTTTTGATAGTTTTTTGTTTTTTACCTTATTGACTGTTGGAATGACATGCATGTGCCATTATGTCAGTTTAAGATTGGAGTTCTTTATTGATCATGGTTTACAGAGATTTCAGTGCTTGGCTAAAGGAAAATCAGTGATACGTGGTGGTTCACCCCTTTACTCTTAAGCACTTGGGAGACTGAGACAGGAGCGTTACAGCTCCCAGCCTGGACAATTGAGCAAGATCCTGTTCCAGTATGAAATATAAATTCTGTGATTTATCTCCACTGAACAGTAACTCATTTACCATGCCCTAGGCCCTGTGATAAATATCCAATATTGAAGAATAGAGGAAAATTTTTCAGTGGAAGGCTTATTTTGAGTTTTTTTATTTTATTTTTTTGTACACTAGCCATATATGGTACAATACTTGCTCATGATGGTGGACAGCAGTAATGAATCACCCCTCTGTCTGCTACAGGACAACAGTGGTGAACAAGCAGTGCTTTACAGTGCACTGTATTCAATAACATGCAGGAGATATTTAGTATTTTCTTATGGTTTTGTATTGTGTTACATATATTTCACCAAATATGGATCAAGCGGGTGTGTTGAGCAGGTTTAAGGACCCAAGGCTTAGCACTAATGTTTTCTTGATCAGGCCTATTCTGTACATTTTCAACATATTTTCTTTTGAACTTCCTTTGGATTAATCATGATATTTTTCCTTTGTAACTCAAGTAGTGTGTCTACTTTAACTTTCCAAAAATTCAGCTGTAAAACATAATAAACATCAGATTGTTTCTTTTTTTGAGAGCTGTGTTAATCAGTTTCCCCAGAGCACCTGAATGAGAACAATATGAGTACTATTTGGAAAAAGGAACACTACTCTGGATTTTGACAATTGTTTCTTTGCTTTGCTTTGATTTGGTTGTTTTTACCATTATTATTATTATTACCATTATTTTATCATCATCATCATCAGAGAGGTGCCCCCAGTCAGATCATGCTCTCAAGCTTGCATCACTACAAGAAGGAGATAGGATGATTTTCTTTGACCAAACACAGGCCTGAGCAGTGGGAACACGAGCCATGAAGCATGTGCATGGCTGATGGGAAAGTGCTTCCATTCCTGCTTCTAATTATGCCGATTTTGGAAAACTTTCTAGCTATTTTAACCTTGGGTAAACATATGCCTTTCTGTCCCAGTTTGCCCACTCATGTAATTCTCCTTCCATTTCCATGGCATTAAAGAGCTGAAGGCATGTCTGTCCATTACTGTTACTTTCAAGACTTTCACCTTTGCAGGGATACATATATACCTGTGGAAAAAGAGATGACTGTGGGCCTTTGTCAGATGTTCCATAAGTTCCAATTAACTGCAATCCCTGAATTCCCTAAGTTCTCTTGGCTTGCCCACACACTGTGGACACACCTTCCATGTTGCTATCCTGGAGATGCCCATGGGAATGTCCTATGACACAGCTGAGATAAAGCAGAGGACTTCTGTTCAAAGCACCTTTTAGTCTATCTTTATCTCCCTGTGGGTGTCATCATACAGCAGGAAGCAGTAGAGCCTGTTCTGGTTTTTACCCTGGCAACATCTGAGATGTAGAGCAGGTGGTGAGAACAAGGAGAGCATGTGCAAGGACAGACAGAGTACTTTGTAGACAGTTACTGAGATTGGTTTTGGGGTGTAGAACTAGAGCTTTGGCAGGTCTTGGGTTCTCTGCCCATTCTTATACTTTGTCATTCATGAGCTTGTGTATCCCTTGCACCTTCTAAGTCAGTAGTTTTTCGGTAATGCCAATCGTTCACATCAAAAACCGTATAAATGTGTCTCAGTGTTTTTCTTGTAAATATGACATGGAGCATAATAGATTTAGTAGCATCTTGGGGATGGAGGGCATTGCTGTTAACAATGTCATTTAAGAAAAAGGATCACCCTTATTAGAAAGAAAATTTGGCCCCAAACATTACTAGTGTTGTGCTTGAGAAACCTGTTGTAGGTTTGTAGTTTTCCACAGTGTGCTCCCGCTCATCACTACTAGCTTATACTTGATGGCTTGTAATAGAACCTAGATGCTGATGAGCACTGTACATGTGCTCTATCACTGAGCTACACCCAACCTCATGTACATATATTTTATCACATTTTATGTGCCTTTCCACAGTTATGCGAGAGCAGGCTTGTCTAATTCTGTCACTGATATGAATTCACCAAGGAACATTGTCTTACTTGCTGTCCCTGCAGCCGATTTGAGACAATCCCATGGTGCTCAAGAGCTTCTCTGATGTGCACAGTGTGTGTGTCATTTAAAATCTTATTATACACCATCCACACTACAGCCACCGCGAATGGGCTATAGTTTCTGTTTCTCATAAGCATTAACACTGGACCTTTTCTAATTTGACAAGTTTCATAGATTCATAGTGAAATTTAATTGCTTCTTTTCATGTTTTTCTGTCTTTTATGTTCCATTTTTAGGCATTCTTTTTCCATTTCCTGTATGAGAGCTCCTGTAAATCATCTGCGTATATCATGTTCTCATATTTCTTGGGTTTTTTTTTTTTTTGGTACTTGGAATCAAACTCAGGACCTTGCGCTTGCCAGGTAGGCGCTGTGCCGCTGAGCTATGTCCCCAGTCCATGTTCTCATATTTCTGATGATCACTCTTTTTGTTGTTGTTTTTGTAGGTATTTCATTATCACTGGTAGAGAATCAACATACCATCTTGTGCTTTTTCCATTTACATTTTGATTTCTTCGAGAATTTGTTAAAAAAAAAAAAAGAATTTGTTGCAGAGCAATCCTTACTATTACCTTTTGTATCTTTTCTAAGTCACCTTAAGATTTGTGGCTTTTCAGTTTTATTTCCAAGGATTTACTCATTTTCAGATCAGTAAGTCATTTTCTTATCTTTCTATCATATGTTAGATTAATATATTATATTTTTTCTTGAACCTATGGAAAGTCTACCTTTAAAAGTTTGATAGAAAAATCAATTTCACATAGCATATAAAATGAACAGTTTACCACCGTATAGAACTGGTAAATCACATCTTACTCTTGATTTGTGCTGCCAGACTTATCAAATCTCATGGGTTTAAGGAATTGTATTTTTTTTTTTCATGGAAAAAAGGTAAAAGAAAATTTCATAACAAGATGATAGGAAATAACAATAATTAATACATTACATGTTATTGTCTTTAAAGTAGTTATTCAGAGTGCAGTATAGGGGCATAAAAATTTCTCCAATCTATATAAGCACAGACCTTCCTTTTTTTATGAACTGAGACATGCTAATAGTCTAACCAACTTGAATTTTTTCTCTCTTTTCTCTTCCTTCCTTTCCCCTTTTCCCTATCCTTCCTTTTT